ACTATAATATAGAAAGGATTTTCAAATTTTTTGTTGATACTGGAATTTGAACTCTGAACCTGCCACTTGGGATTAACAACCTGACTACTTCACTAGGTTGACACACCTCTCTTGAAATTATTTTTTAGTTGTTCAAATAGTCATTATTTCTTTATATTTTTTGTTTTCATTTTTTTTTTAAAAATATGAATCAGCAGAAAGAGTTGTATTATTAAATAGTGATTGGCTTTTTTAAAACTTTGAATGACAATAACTTAATAACAAATTAATTAAATTTAATAAATTTTTTTAAAAAATAAATTTTGCAAACTTATAAAATTTATTTAAAAAAATTTTTATTAAATTTGATTAAGTTTTTGTTAAGTTATTACTATTTTAAATTTTTTAAAAAAAAATTTACTTGATTTTTACTAATTCAGTTTCATATAATAAATTTATTTTTAAAATTTAATATAATAATATATATAATTCTAAAAGCCTAAAAGTATAGTTTAAAATAATATTTATTAGAGTTAATATTATTAATAAGTTTTTTAATTTATTTTATAAAATATAATATATTAAAAATACTAAAATAAGCTTATTGTTGGTTAGCAAAAATTTTTGGCCAAATTTGAATATTTTAAGTTTTAAATTATAGTTTTTGAAACCTTATTTGAAATTTGAAACCTTATCTAAAACACAAAATCTTATCTAAAATTTAAAATCTTATTTAAAATTTGAAACATTATCCAAAATCTGAAATCTTATTTAAAATTCTAAAACCTTATTTGAAATTATAAAACCTTATTTGAAATCTAAAATCTTATTTAATGTTTATAATTGTTTTTATAATTTTAAAACATTTGATAAAAATTTTTTAAATAATTTTTTTGATCAATTTAGTTATGTTATTATTTTAGTATAATAAATTTATAGTTGTTATTATAAATTTTAAAACACTTAACAAAAATTAACTAAATAATTTTTTGACTAATCTAATTAAATAGTTAGTTTTAACAATATTAATATAACAATAATATAGATTAAAGTAAAATTATAAACTAAAAATATTTTAAAATTATATTATATTGTTAAATTATTATAATTAAAATTATTAAATATTAACAATTGTAGTAATTTTTTTTTAATATTTCAAAATAAAAAATAATTATTAAAAGTATAAAATCTAATAAATACACTATTTTAAAAATATTTAATAATTGTTGTAATCAAATTTTTACTAATAATAAATAAAAAAAAGAATAAAAATTGAAATAAAATTATAAAAACTAATTAAAAAAATATAATTACTGTTGTACTATAGAAAATATAGACTGAAAAATTCCTTATTCATAGGATAAACAAAAGTTTCTCATGTAATGTTAAATGGGTTAGTACTTAAAAAAGGCATTGAATTTGGGCAAGTACTAAGGATAAGTATATTTTTATTAACTATATTATGAAACTTGTTTTTCTTATATTATAAATGCATTACTTATATACTTTTTCTCTATATGCTAATTATACTAATTATGCTATATATACTAATTACATTAATTATGCTAAATATACTATATCTACTACATCTATTAATTATACTAATTACATTATATCTATTAATTATGCTAATTATACTACATCTACTAATTATGCTAATTATACTACATCTATTAATTCTACTTTATATATGTGCTATATCTAATAATTACTGTATATTATTATTTTATTATATAGTCTAATTTAAATAAAATATCAATGATCTTATTTTAGATTACGTATAATATTACATTAGAAAAATCATAAATTTTATTTTTTTTTTTAGTTTTAAGGGTGATTTTACCTATATGTCTTTTTATTATTAATAATATACAATTATTAGAGTTCCAATCCACTATCCATTTATCCATTTATCTATCAGTTATTCAATATCCGAATATATTTGAATATCTGGTTACTATTGATATCCGGATAATTATCCAGTTATCTGTTAGATTATCCAGATATTAATAGTAAATAGATATCTAGATAAATTTGGATATGGATAAACAGATGATGGATTATCTGGATTGGAACTCTAATAATTATATAATATATTAATGAAAGTACAACTAATTATATATATAACTTTAGTTATTATCTAATTAAGGGTTCTGCCTATAGATTACCTACTAGATGCTATACCTAAGACCACCTGTGAGTTCTCTATTTAAACTTTCTGATTTTTTATATTTAAAATACAGTATATTACTATAATTAAGACAGAACAGGTTAGAGCTATCTAATTATTATTTATATTTATATATTATCTTATTGAATATTACTAAGTATCTATAATTCTTTCAAATTTATCTTCAATGCAAACTTACTAAGTATGATACCAAGATTACTCCTTAGATTTTATCCAATTTTAGTAGATACTATATCTACTAAAACCAGTTTTGTGCCAGAAGTGTTTGAATTTTAGTAAGTTTATTCTTTTTTCATAGTTTTTTTTTAGGTTTATTATATTACCTGCTATGCATCTTTTCTTTATTTTTGATATATTCTCTGCTTCTCTTGTATCGAGTGTCAACTCTTCATATTGAAAAACTTTTTTCTAGAAACTTTCTTATACACTGATCTTCTATTTACATAGACTTAGCCACAGGGCTTCATATATATTCATAAGCTTTCATAAATTACAAAGTTTTTGCCTTCAGCTAGAATTGAACTGTTAATCTTGTCTGTGGAGGAAGAGATGCCTAGACCACTAGACTACAGGACCCCATCTCTTGTAAATTTTATTTTTAATATTTTTTTAAAAGATTATAATACTAATTATTTATTTAAATAAAAGTTTTATAATTCTAAATCTAGAATATAATAATAAAAAATTATAAAAAAATATTTAATAAACTTAAATAATAAGTAACAAATAACTTAATAAGATTAATAAAAAAAATTTATATTATTTAATAAATTAAAAGATTATGCTTATTTTAAAAGATAATAAAATATTCTAAATACTTAGAAAAATTATTAATTATAATACTTTCTAATAGATATAATAACTTACTAAAATAAATAAATTATTAACTTTCAAATGATAGGTTATAAGTTCAAAATTTACTAATAGTAAAAATTTAAATAATTATTTGTACAATACATTATATTATAATAACAATATTCTGTTAATTAATTGAAATAAAATATTTGTAACTTAATTGTGTTAGTATAATTGATAAATCATAAAGCATTTATATAAATTTAATTATATATAAGAATATAAACTAGTACTAGATAATGCAAATCAGTATCAGATAATGCAAACCCAAGATGAGTTTTTGTAATTATATAAATTTATAAAATTAGAAAAAACTAAAACCTACTTAGAAAAAAATTTAAATAGAAAAATAACATGGATCTTTAATAATATTACTATAAAAACTAGACCTAAAAAACAGATACTAATTTAAAAAAATCAAACAGACAAGAACTTTTAAATAAAAGATATCACTATTTAAACTATTAAGTTCAAATTAAAAGAAAATAATATTAGACTAGACTTGATATACTAGAAACAGATCATAGTTTTTCTAAGTTATCTGCATTAAAAATCTAAAAATAAAGTAAATATATACTAAAGTACTAAGAATATGCTGTGAAATAGATGTTAAAATACAAGTAAAATTTACAAGAGCAAATTTTTGTTAATATTCTATAAAATGAGTAGACAGTTAACAAAGAAAACTCTTAAAATTTATTAGCAAATATTATGTTTTAAAATATATAATAGCTAAAGACCAATTCAAAAAAAATACTGTGCTGCTTAGACAGTATACTGGTTAAGTATATATGAAAAGTTTGTGGTAGTTAAATGATTAATAAAACAAATGATCAGAGGATTTAAATGGATAATCTCCTAGTAGATTATAAATATGACGTCTAGTGTAAAACCCTAAGATGAATTACTTAAATAGACAACCAAAAGTTGCACATGTAAAAATAATTGTAATAAATAACCCAACATATAGTATAACTACCACAAAGTATGACCTTTAAACACAAAAAAAAAAACTTTAACTACAAGTAATTTCTTACTAATTTTTATTGTTTTGAAGAGGGTTAGTAAAAGCTACTATTTTCAAATATTTTTTTCTGAATTGTGATTTATAAATGACTTCGAGACTAAAATATCTTAACCATTTTTAGATGCTATTTTACACTGTAACTGAATTACAAGATTAGGTGTTTATAACTTCTTCTATGCCTTAACAAAAAAATTCATTGCAAAATTTTGTGCCTATTTCAACTTAATACCTAATAATAAATTTTTACTAGTTTAAACATTTGATTGTTTCTTTGATTTTTTTAATTGAACGTAACTCTTGTGTTATCAAAATTTCTTAAACACAACTAACGTTAATTATAATCTAACGAAAATTAGCTAAATTGTAACACAGCAGGGTGAAATCCGCGCAGAAATAGTTATGTATACGATACTTAAATTAGTAGAACTATAGAGGTAAGTATTGTTTTTGTGAGTTTGTGATATTCATTGAAGAGTAGGTACGTAGCAGTTTTAGATGTCTTTATAAGTCTGCACCATAATAATTGGTATTAAAATTTAGAGTTCTTATTTAAGTCTATGTATAATATTACTAAAATCATATAATCATATGTATACGTACTCTTTATTAGTAAGGATAACGCTAACCCTAAATCCCAACCTAATTATTAAAAAAAATGAATCACGCAGCTCACCCACAAGAATTTTTCTTGCACGTAACGATCATTATATATTTGAAAGGGAACTATCGACACAGCTAATGACCAGCACTAACCTTAATGACACAGCATGACCAGCACTATAGTTAAGGTTAGTGCCAAAATTGGGGAATTATATCACGTGTATGCTGTATCGGTATTTGAAATTATACAAAGCTGACGTAACCATCAACACCATTTTATTATTGATTAATGTTCATATCAATCTTATTCAATTGAAGAAAAATCTACATATTTATAAAAATAAGATTTTACCATTCCTTAATTAAAAAAATACAACAAACAAAAATAATTGCATGGATAGGTGAAAGTTTGATCATTTCGTTAATAACCACACCAGGAACTCTTTTTGCTCTACTAAAATAGTCAATCAATTTATCTATGAATACCAAACGTTTCATTTTGTTCGCATAATCTAACTGTTTTTCATATTCATATATACTTTCATTGTCATCTGCAAAAACTTCCCCATTAGTGATGACATCTGTTTTAATGTGTGATAATGTCTCTTCTACTTGTACTCCCTTCGGCAAAACCATACTCGCGACCATCCGTAATAAGATTATGATCGTGCCTAAGAAAGTTCAGAGTAGACTTAAAAACAAGATTACCAGCCCAGAGAGTTCCTCTACAAACAGTGATGACACAGGTAACATTCGCTGCGGTGATTATTGTGATTATAAATATGGGTGTGAGCACAAGGAGTGCGCCTCCAATTAAAAGACCATTTATCGCGGCGTATGCGACTGCCCCTTATATTATAATAGTAATAGAATTAATTATTAAAAAAATTTTTTTTACCGAATATATAATGTTACAGTAGAAGATTTTTATCATATTAATAATACTTACATATAATAATTGTCGTAACAAGGGATCCAATAGACCAAGCAATAAAAAGCAAAATAGGAATTGCAAATAAAGCACCAAAAGTAAGGGAAAAATCTTTTAAAATTTGGTATCTTGACGCAACATCATAACTGTAGTCACCAATACGCCTAACCCACTCTGGGAGACTAGTATAAATTCCTGTACCAACATTTTTTACAGATTCTTCGGTAGACTTGAATATTTCCATAAGCTTCTTTTTTTTTATTATTATTGTGAAGACTGATTTAAAATTATGGTTTGCGAAAAAAAAAAATATAAAAAAAAAACAAAAAGCGATTTTTATCTCACTTTTATTGAATGTATATGATAAACTGATAACATCGGCTTTACACTAGATATATTAATATTAAATCGGTTGGATTTTATCATCATCATCATTATATCAATTCTACTAACTTTTATCTTTATTAAAATGGTGACTTTATAATGAAGTATACAATTTTACTATTGGTAAAAATCACATTCTACTGAAATTTCCGACAACTATATTATTTTTTAACAAATAAATAAGCTAACACCTTCTGAACCAATAGGAAATAAAAAGGCTGCCTTTCCACTACCACCCTAGCGTCACTCAAAAAATTAGTCACGAACCGGAATTTAAAATTAAACATTGGTACTCAAATACGTCAAATAGCGATTAACTTATCGATATAAAAGACGTAATATATATATATTATATATACTGTATATGTGTACGTATACAGTATTCTTTTTTCATTAACGCTAAATCAATTAATTTACAGTATAAAAATTTCCGACAAGGTGTTAAAACTATCTATAATAAAAAGTATCTCTTTCTATACATAAGTGTCTAAATTATTTCTTAACAAATAATTATTTCGATAATTAGTCTGCCGAAATTAATTTTCTACGTATAGTTTGCGAACATAATTTTTATAAGTGACGAAATTATTGGCGAAATTATTTGAATTCTTAGATAAGATATATTAAATAATATAATTATTTGTGAAGTTTATATAAAAAATATGGCAATGTAATGATGAAATTTTTTTTGCAAAATTACTTTTTTTTATAAAAAAAACAATAATTTAGATATCCATGTATATTATCTTTCTCGAAGTTTTTACAGTTTTAAACCTTTCTAAGTCATTTACTAGTTTTTTTTTTTAACCATTTTCTTTGTTGAAATAAAAAATGAATCGTATTGGCCGATTTGATTTTAGGGTCTTTATTTAATAAATTTTTACACAAAATTTTGCTATTAAGTAACGTGAAAAAAGTTTTTTTTTAGTATCGTATGAGATCAAAAATAAATAAATAATTACGCCAAGTTATAAAGAAAGCACTACTGCTGCTTCTTGAAATGTTTGTATATTTTCAGGTAGTTAGTAAGGGTAAATATGAAAGTAAATTTTTTTAAAAATGGCCTTTCTAACTTTCAACTTACAATTAAACATGTATATATAATATTCTATATATTTAAAAGATCGTTTCTATAAAAACTCAATTTTCAATAATTTTTTAAACAAAAAAATTTTAATAATGATTTTCTAATACGTAAAATTACTCCTTTGTAAATATATCTTTATTAAATTTAGTTATAATTTTATCTAACATTCGACGTATATGTCTTCATATGGTCCTATTGTAACATATCTATCCACATAACCTTCCATTTTTAGAGAATTAAGACTCGATTCCCAATATTTGTCTACACCCACATAATTCAAGGTTCCTTTTCGTTTACAGAATTTGATTAACGCTTTGGCATTTTTCTTATTATCCAATTTATGAATTATCAACTTTTTTAAAGGTGCATAGCAATTATTTAGTATAATATCAATATATGAATCTAAACAAGAATTTCGTAAGTCAAGGTATTGTAATGTTGAAGGTAATATCTCTGCAAACTGTATAATCAGTTCTTCATCTGACACAACTTCATCCGATATATCATCAATAAATCCAATATACCCTAACGTGAGAAATTGAAGTTTTTGTAAATTGCTAATAAGATCGAGGAATTGTGTGGAAAACTCGATATCCGCAATGTCAAGATATATAATATTTGGGCAGAAAGACATAAGTGCGTCTATTAATAATGGTTGTTCTACAATTATTGTATCTCTTGATTCAAGTTTTAATCGTTGTAGTGATGTGTTAACCTTTTCAAAAACTAACACCAACATTGATGCCTCAATCGTGGTTTTCATTACTTCTAAAGTGTTGATTTTAACGTCTAATACTTCCAACAAACCCTTATCATTACAATACCTAAGACGAAGAATTTTTAGATTTTCACAATTCTTCAGTATCTCAAACTCTGTACTGTAATTACAACCTTCTATTATAACTTCCTGTAATGAATTTTTTTGACTCTCTAAAGCTAAAACAATACCATGAAATTCTTCAGCAAATTCTGTACTACTCATGGTGAATTTTCTAAGTTGCTCTTGTGATTTAATAAAGCACACAAGTTCATGAAATACTTGAGAATTAGGATAAAGTTCAATACGTCCACGAGTTACTTGAGGTTCATAATAAAATCCATCAAGTTTCAAGGCACTAATTTTTGTAGAATTTTTTGTCAAGATTTTTAATAATGTAATAGAGACTTCACCTGATATTGTACCAAAGGATAAATCTTGGAGTCTTGAGAAAAATTGATCATTTTGTTCTAATAAGTGAAAGATCTCTGACTTAATTTTAATAAATTCAGAATATATATTTAATTGGTATAAAGTGGCACCACTCTCAATAAATAGTTTAAGTAATAAATTACTTATGTGATTTATCAATGATCCATTATATGGTTTCGAATAAGCCATATACGATTCAATCCATGTTTTAATGTTATTTTCCAGATTATTTAAATCGAGATTTTTTAGAAATCTTGCATAATCAAATAGAGTTTTAGAAGATTTTACATTGATTCCATACTCTTTTAAAATGAATTTTTCATCTTCACCAAGAGATGAAAAATATTCAGGGATGAATGACGCATCTTGATTAAAATATTTAAATGGATCTTGCCAAATCATAGGAATTGATATTCTACACCAATGTCGACTCACAAGTGCACATTGATATAATTCATAAGTGTCATCATTTAAATTATTAAGAATATTTTCCATTAATTCAGGCATATCGCCCATAAAGATTTTTGACGCCATGAATTTGTTTTGTTTTGATTTGATAAGAATTGAAAAATTAAAAGATGTAGAACCTTTAAATAAGAGGAATGATTTACGATTATAGTTATATACAGTGCACAAAATTTCCGGCTAATGTAATGTGACTTTTCTCCGAAAGTGTTTTTTTCCTAACCGGAATTTAATAAATTATAGCCGGAAGTCGTTATGATAAATGACGGACTAATGACGACTGTTGAAAATCGGAACGGAAAGTGACATCATTAAGCGGAAGTCTCCGGCATTTTACTATGCTGCAAATTTGACTGAAAATTTCATGATTGATTTGTGATTAAGCTATCAATTTATATTTGGTAAATATGTAGTTATCGCGATTTGCACACTGCATACCCGATGGTTCGATTGTACGATTTATTTGTAATTATATAGCAAAAACTATATAAAAAATATGGTTTTTACTTTATTTTAATAAAACAAAGTGTCTATTGGAATCAACCCCCAACGTTCGAGTGATGATCTACGAAATTGCCGCAGCAGTCGCCGTTAATATTAACCCTAGTTGATGTTATACAACTAATCCGACGCATGGTGTGCTAAAAGAAAACCCGAAAATTTAAATATGACTTATATTTAAATTTTCAGGTTTTCTTTTAGCGAACTCATATTATGTAATTTATTGGTTAGTATGTCAGATAAAAATAAATACGTAATCAAAAACGAGCAATGTTTCCGGAAAGTACACTAATCACATAATCCATAAAGGACATAGTTTATACTTAAAAATTAACCCTAATAGACATGACTTACAAGTGTGAAAATTTTTATTTTTTTAGAAAAAAAAATTAAAATAAAAATCAAATGTTTCTTTTTGATTTTGTTTTTAAGAAAAAAAAACCATGTACGGGCACATATTAGAATAATAATCTATAGTTTAAAAAATTTCTTTGACAATAAAAAGTTATCTGATTGTGACTACTCCATTGTTATGTCATCGACGTCAGGCATCAGTTCATGAATCTAATTTGTTATAGTTCATTATAAAAAGTTATTACATGAAATAAACTTTACAGTATGAATGTTGTTTTTTTTTTCACGTTTTAATTCAAGACGAGAAAAATGCATGTTTTTTAAAATATTATGTACTAATTCACATTAATGTGTTTAATAGATCGATTGAGAGAGTAACAGAAAAGGTAATAAAATGGAACCATACGTTCTTCATTGACTACATTCATCAAGTTTTTAGCGTTAATGTGTGTGACCATTTCAATGAAATGATTCTGATGCGCCAAAATTGGGAATAAATATAATAGTATAATAATGGCGACCAATAAAAGAATACCATAACGGTAAGAAAGTGACAAGCATTTTGATAAAGAAGGTACAAAAGTAAAAAAATGTTCGTAGATATTTACTACAATATTTATAGTAAAAATTTTACATGTTTTTTTATTTACAAATTTATAAGTATATATATATTTATATGCCTTTGAAAAAATTAATAATATAGTAATAGTAATGAATAATTGAATTATCTAAATAAATAATTGAAGTGTTCGATAATGAATAATTGAAAAAATATTATCATGCGTCAAAACTATAATATTGAAAAATATTATCACGCGTCAAAACTATAATATTGAAAAATCTTGCTCACATATTCTGGGCCATATTCAGTTATATCCAATTTTCTACCATGTACTCTATCAGGTCGAATCGAATCTCTTCGAGTTTTGCGAGAGTAATACCATCTTCTACCATAATTTACATCAATCTTCCATTCATCAATAGCATAAAGTTTTTTAAGTAGTGAATCATTCATCTCAATTGTATGAATAGGAAGGTTATTCTTTTTTATGTCAACAAATAAACCATTTGTATTTAAAATATTAAAACATGGGATTGAAGTAAGATCAATGTATTGTAAATTTGATAATGTTATTAAAAGATCTTTAATATGAGTCAAATTAGTAATTTGAGCTTTTGAAATTCCAAGATTTTGTAAAGATGGACAATTTTTTTTGATAGTAGTTAAAATCAAAGGAGTTATTTGTGAAGAACCAATATCTAAGGATCGGAAATTCTTTGCGTTAGGTGAATGAAGTATAGTTATTAAATCACATTCTTTAATAGCTGTAGTGATATTTCTGTCACCATAAAGATTAAGAGTTTCCAGTTGAGAACATTTAGAAATAAAAGATGAAATAGCATCGGATGAAATATTTTTACATTTAGCCAATAATAAATGTAATAATTTAGTTGGAATATTTGTTCCAGCTAAGAAGTTTAAAGTTAAATCACTGATAGAACAGCCACCCAAATCAAGATGTGTAAGATTTGGAGCATGAGCGAGAAGAGGTATAATAGTTGTATATTCAGAAATTATAGGACATTCATGAAATGAAAGTCTTTGTAAATGAGATAGTAAAGGTTTGCAAGTCATGTGAAAAGAAATGATTGATTCATTGTAATCATTACAAGATTGTTCTATTCTAACGCGACCGATTAAGTGAGAAAATTCATCTAAAGCTCTACTGAATTGTTTACTAGTACATCCACAAAAATCAATAATTTTGATATTTTTACATTCTAAAAATAGGACTTTTAAAACATCAAGGGTAATTACAGATTCCAAAGATTCTGATATAGAAAAAGCCTTTAATTCAGGAAAAGATCTTAGAATATGAATTAAATGATCTGGGGAGACGACAATTTGAGTTTCAAAAGCGCTTTTTTGTAGGCCGCAGGTAGAAAAACTAGAAAGGTCCAAATGGCGAACTATTTGAGAACAACGCTTTTTAATACCATTGAAAGCATTAATAAAATGTGTAAAGGTATGAGGAAAAGTAAACGCGACGGTATGATATAAGATTGGAGTAGCGTGAAGATTGAAAGTATGATTAACTAAAGAACAAGCTGCAAGAGTTTTTCTATCATCTCTTAGTAAACTAAGAATAATACGAATAATTTCGGGAGGAATATAAGGAATTGATGTATTCTTTTTAGCCGGAACAACCTGTGTACCGGTGAGAGGATAAACGAATAACTGAGGTAACATAGTACCAGACATTTTAAAAAAAATTTTAATTGAAGATTAATTACTAAGAAATTTAAGTATCAAAGAATTATTTATTAAATAATATTTTGCCAAATGTTTAATGTTTAGTCGAAAACGAACAAGCAGAATTTCGCGTCTTTTTATATATTTTGCCAAAGCAGCAGCTTAAAGATAGTAAAATACTGATACAGTATTAATGATGTTAGTTTCACTTCGGGTGTATTAACGTTAATACAAATAATTGACATTATAAATTTATTTGTGGTTACAATTGTGTGAGTCCAGTCTATTAATAGGTGGTTTAATGGGTGCTTTACCTTAACAACTTTTATTAACACATTGTTATAAAAAAAAAAAACCACATACATAAGTATGCTCCACCATTAATGTTATTATAAAAAATGAATGAATGTTATAACCGAGAACTGGTTTTTTATTTGTTTTGTTACAACTTGCCACAGTGGAACAATACGAAAATCACATGATTAACATTTACATACTTGCATATTTTCCAGAAACATCGAATTAACTCGATTCATATAAAACCTTAAATTTTGACTTGCATGCATTAATACTGTATATCGATCTTACAAAATTAAGACGACCAATAGAAACTTTGTTTCGTTACGTACAATATATAATATCGTTGCCATAAGTAATAACGACATTACTTCTACCTAACATATTATATTAATTTCTCCTCGCAGTTATTATACATCGTTATTATTACACATCGTTATTATTACTTGCCCTTTTATTCAAATTCCGCGGATAAGCAGATTTTAGTTCCTGAAGAATTTTTTTAAGTCGAGAATTGTGCACATGCTTGATTGACCACAATGTCACAAAAGTTTTATTTGTCACATCAAGAACTTTCGATTTTCAAATTTCTTAATTTGTAAATGAGTATTTTTTATGTATATTACTTATACTCTATTACGTACGATTTGTTTTTGTACTCTGAAACTAATTATATTTGTTTATTAATTATATTATATCTTCCATATTTGTGTATGCGTACCCGAAGGTTGGTGATTTCTTCATTGAGAAAAATTGTCAATGAATACCTGTCATTCAGGTCCATTGAGATCTATCGGAATAATTATCAACTTTTGACTTCCATATCTAAATTGTATTATAATTAGCATTTGTCTATCTTTTGAAGACAACAATAAGTTATGATGGTATAAGGTAATAACGAGTAATTTGGTGTTATGTTCTTTCCAATTTTCTCACATATTTCTTTTATATGTATATGATTATAAATGTCACTCGGAGATATGAAAATACCTAATAAGAAAAAAGCGAGCAATTTTATAAAGGATCATCACCGAAACTTATTGCACTTTCTAGAAGTAAAGTATCACCTTCATTGTCAAAATTCTTTTTTAGTTCTTAAATTCATTTTTGGAAAAACCAAGAAGTCTTAGCCTCAATTAAATAAATTTTGGACCCTTCAAAAAGGAACTCGTTGGCAATCATTGTGAAATCAAAATTATAAATTCATACTTATGTATTTTTTTTTAAAGAGATATTGTAACTTATCTTAGTTAACGCTTATAACGAGAATTTTTTATTCTTAATCAGTATAGTAATTGACTCGTATAAACTCTTGATTTGCGAATTAAACTCAAAAAGTATTTGAATCATCTGATCGACTTAATTTATTCGAGTTACTCGAGTCACGAAAATTACTATTTGTAAAATACAACAAATGTATCTTATATTCCGATCGACCAAAGCAACCTTATTTATTATGCAAATTTGCAATATATTTTGCTCACGAAGTAAAAAATTACGTAATTAGAGTCATGAGTTCGATCACTACATAAAGTATGTACATATGAATTCTGATGTTAATGATACGTAATTTTTCCTTCGTATTTAAGACATAAAGATTAGTTTTTTCGTTGTACGATCGAGTAGGTTTATGAAAATTATTTAAATAATTTTTGTAATATAACATTTTTATCCATTTGGGTATAAAAATTTCTTTTTGGTATAACATGTCTCCATATAGGTACATGCACTGCAACTGCAGTATGAAATGTACTTTTTGTACCCAACGAAGCACTACTAGTTTCAGTATGAAATTGTCAAGTATTTTAAAAATAACGCTGCAGATTTGTAATAGAAGAGCATGTTTAGATAAGATGGCTGCAATGTATCAAGTATTTGAAAGTGTTGATAGCTTTTCTGATAAGATGGAAATAATCAAGAGTCACGGAATTTTTATTTGATTGAATGTTTATAAGATGGCTAGGAAAAATTTGGACGATTTCGTATGTATAAATATATCTTAACTTTTCTAAAAATGTAATTAAAAATGTAATTGCCACATTCATATTAATAATTCATAAAGTACTGAATTAACTAATTTTATCATTCCAAATTCATTAAAAATTTAATTAGAAACGGAATGCTGCCTGCAGAAAATTCAAATAACAATTATAATTAGCCTAAAGATATAAAAAACTCTTTATTGCAATCAACTAAATAAATATCATCATGACAATATAAATTTTTGCTTACTGTTACATGCGGAATGTTAGCCAAACCTTTCTAATAATTTCTTATTAGTGTGTCATAATGACTTTAAGATTGAATGTATATAATCATATTAGATAGAATAGAAAGTGTATCAGTGAACAACGCTTTGCTTCGCTGCTCTAACAAGTTTTATGCATAGCTTATACTGCAATAAGAATAATCAACGATACAGTTACGTACCACAAGCAAAATTACACCTTGATCAAAAAGAAATAAAAGAAGTAAAAGAAATAAAAGAAGTAAAAGAAATAAAATAAGTAAAAGAAATAAAATAAGTCAATATATTAATTATAATTATCATCCATATTAAATTGTTCTTTAATATTACAAATAGAATTTGAACTCAAAAATTTAAAAAATAAATTACCAATTTTATAGTGCTAAAAAATTGTAACATCAATTTTTTTATGCTACAACTCACTCTATATCGAATCTTCATTATATCAAGGGTTCACTATAACGAGAGTGAGAAATTCAAAGTTATTACTAGTGCTAAAAAAGCCACCAGCTATATGCAGTTGAAACTATTGTTAGTGTTTATATTAGTATTATTAGTATACGATTATGCATCCATTTGGCCTTCTTGATTAAAGTTGTTTTTTTTTTTTCTACAATGCTCTATACGCGGTATTCGCTTGATTAATTTACGTGTTTCTAATCATGACAAATTCGAGTTATTCAAGTCAGATATTGACGAGTCCAATCATACGTACAATAGCCTTCAAAGAAAGTATGCTTCGATTAGTGATTTGAACCGAGAAAAAATTTCTTAATCGGTTAACCGAACCGAACTATTTTATGTCAACCGATTGCAACCGGTTATGATTACTTCACACATCGGAAAGTCTCGGACCTTTACTTAATTTTCCTTTTCGGAACTTTTCGGAATATTTTCTCATTCCTGACTAGGGTTGTTAATGGATTGGATTGGGTTGGGTTGGGTTAAGCAACTCCTCAACCTACTCCAGCTTGGGTTGGGCTCACTCCGGAGCCACTCCAGGCTTGCTTAGAGCTGCTCCAGTTCACTCCAGATATTTAGGCATATCTTTAACCCACTCTAACTTGGGTTGGGCTCACTCCGGAGTGGCTCCAGAGTATGCCACTCCATTAACAACCCTATTCCTGACGTCATTTACATACTATATCGCCTTCCAGCCGATTACCCGAAATTTATTCGGTTCGAGTCGGTTAACCGATTATAGCCCAACTGGTTCAAATCACTAGCTTCGATCGATTTATTATTCGAGGTTTTGAAGTTCACGTATTCGGAGAAATAAAATTTATATTGTACATAGCACGAAATAGTATGCTCGTTGTGCTCATAATGATTTAAAAAGCGAGCGAATATTTTCATAAATTCTAGCTAATAGAGAAAATTACTAACGAGTGAATCGATAAGTTCTAATATCAGCAAATATTGTAAATATTGTAATATTGTTAATATTGTTAATATTGTTAATATTGTTAATATTGTTAATATTGTTAATATTGTTAATATTGTTAATATTGCAAATATTGCAAATATTGGTAACCGCTAATGCCAACTCGGCTTGTAGATTCGATCATCAAAAAATTGGTCAACTGTCCAGAATCTATGCATTATGGATCTATCTGCCTAAAATTAACAATTCGAATTATCGAATCCAATGTCTAAAATTCAACATCAAGAACGCGGGAGGGCCGCACATTACATATAGATCCTTATGCGCTATAATGCACATAAATATTTTTTAAGTATGCGCAAAAAAAAAATAAGTACCAAATTTTTATCTATTTTTAAAGTTGTAGGTTTGATATCAATAAATATATAGTATCGTGATTAGTGATGCAGTAGAATCGTCCCAATGATTATCGTATAGTTACGGTTTAAGCCGTAACATCATTGGGACGATTCTTCTACATCACTAAAGAACTAATCTAAGACATATGTGTGCACGATTACACAAAAAGCATAAAAAAAAAAATCATTGATCGTTGATGTTTTGTTTTTTATGCATCTTTGATACGCATAATTTTGGAGGCTACTTTACATACGAACTTACGTATATAAAAATACTTACTTTTTCATCTTTAAGCTATGATTCCTTTCCAAAACCAATAAATACATATGTAAGTTTATGAAAAATAGGCTATACAAATTTACCGTCTTGGTTTTCGTAGAACGAAACTTCTAAATAGATCCGACTCGTCGGCTTTTTTTTTTTAAAAGAAAAAAAATTATTTAAGTACTGTTTAACTTTTTTTAATATAATAAGTGTAGTATTTTAAAGACCCTTTTTTAGAACCCTATCAGAAACAGGTTGTAGATTTTTTTTCTACCTATCAGGAACAATACCGACAATTCATCAGAAACAGTATTTTTGTCACCAGGTTATTAAATTAATATATATACATACTTTTTTTAAAAGATTCCAAATTTGACCTGGCCGGGTTATGAAAACCAATTAATTAATTTTGCATGG